GAATAATTATAGACATATATGTTTACATATATATATATATGAACATGCCAGCACCCACACACAAAATACACATGCCAACTGCACTGCCAAGCACCTGTCTTCCACTTCTGTAAGATCTCTGCCCGCACTTCCGGATCCTTGCCCCTGCTGGACTTCCCATTGACATACCTGCTGTAGAGGGATCCCCACGCCTCCGGATGTGTCTGCGAGTTGATCTTCTCCAGGCTGGCAGCATTCCTGCAAAGAGATAGCAAAAGATGGCATGTTTTGAAGACTCACTAGCACGGCTATTTGAAACGAATGGAACCTCTGAGCAATCTTTTTTCAAACTGCAAATTGCATGGTCTCTGCCGAGTCACGCTGCTGTGCCACCGTTTCGGTGGCTCGTATCATTGGCTTCCTTCTCCGGCGACGGTGATGGCGATGTTGTTGTGATCGACTGCACCTCGCCCTCTCCTTCACGAGGGGGTTGGGCCGACTGGCCGGCCTTCTCATCCATCTTGGCAGCCTGGTTTCTTCCATGGTCCTCAGCCTCCTGGCTCTGCTGGGCTTCGGCCACCTGGCCCTGCTGTGCCGGCTCGGTGGAGGGGCGAGGCTGAGCCGAAGCAGACTTGTTTTGCTGGGCTGCCTGCTCAGTCGTGGGGCTAGGCTGCTCCGAGGCAGACTGGTTTTGCTGGGCCCGCAGCTGTCCTTCTGCTGCCGATGTGACAACATCTGCTGCAGCCCTGTGCCTCGCACACTCCTCGATCAACTGCGTAAACTTCTCCGTCAGGGCTGGCGAGAGTCCAGCATCACCAGTCAACACCTGCAGGGATGCAAAGGCCATATCGATGGCCGCTCCCGCCGCCTCACCTGCAGGAGAAGTCGAGGGCGGCATCATGCCTTGCGGCTGCTGCACAAGTGTAGGCATAGGCGGGCTCGTCTGCATCGGCAGGGTGGCTGGCGGCGTCAGCACCTGCGAATACCCCATTCTGCAAAAACAGCTCCTCCACGTGGCAAAGGTGGCACTGCACCTTGCAGTGCAGCAGTGCCCAGCATTGGTGTCGGAGACGATGTCCCAGGCGAACCACCTCCCACATAGGGCCTCAACGGCGAACCAGGAATCATCTGAGCTGGCATCTGCATCATCTGCGGCACTCCAGGCCCCATGTGCTGCGGCAGCATCTGTGCCACTCCAGGGCCCGTGTGCTGAGGCATCGGCACTCCAGGGCCCATGTGCTGCTGAGGCATTTGTACCAATCCAGGACCCATGTGCTGCTGAGCCATCTGTGCCAGTCCAGGGCTCATCTGCTGCTGAGCCATCTGTGCCACTCCAGGGCCCATCTGCTGCTGAGCCATCTGTGCCACTCCAGGGCCCATCTGCACTGGTCCAGCAGGCATCTGCACTGGTCTAGGCACTGGTCCAGGCCCCATCTGCTCAGGCACTGCACCGGCTGGTCCAGTCCCCATCTGCTGAGGCTGAGGCTGAGGCACTGCCCTGGCTGGTCCAGGCCCAAACTGCTGCGGCACTGCCCGGTCTGCTGAGGCATCGGTCCAGGCCCCGTCTGCACTGTCTGCTGAGGCATCGGTCCAGGCCCCATCTGCACTGTCTGCTGAGGCATAGGTCCAGGCCCCGTCTGTTGAGGCACTGTCTGCTGGGGC